TGCCACATCTCCAGCTCTGTGGAGGAAGCTGGGAGAAAGGAGTCAATACGCAGAGGAGAAGAAAAGAGACATGGAGAATCCTAGAAGCATTTATGTCCCTGAACAGCTTGCTGAACCCCTACCCTTCTCCATGTATGACTGGATGAGCCAACAAATAACTCTTTTTTTACCTAAACTAGTAGCTTTATATTATTTCTGGCCAAGAATCTTGGCTAATATAAAAGCTGATATTAAGTTTCATTTTGGTTTGGTTTTTAATATCTAAAATATGATCTTCAAACATAAGCAGAAAAGTCTACTGGAAAATATACCTTGAGGCACCAGCTTCCAAAAGAGCAAAATCTAAGATAGGAGGTTACAGAAGAAAGGCCTTAAAGATGAAACACTGCACACGATCTTACCATCCGGATTAATGTACAAATCTACCCTGTACCACAGGGATATCTATAAATGAAGATAATATCTGTCATGAAACTATCTTATAGAAAGTATGCAGTGAAGTTCATAATGTGCTTTGAGCAATTTGGAAAATAGTATTTTTAAAATCTAATCTATACGTCACATTTAAGAACAATAAATTTAGATACATTTCTTAATATTCCTGTTGCTCAATTTCTTTTTCTTTACAATGGGGGTAATACCAGAAAAATAAATAAATAAATAAAACGGGGGTAATAATACCTCTTTTGAAGTGATGTCGACAAAATTAGCAATCATATATATGTGAAGCTGGAAGATTGCGATTCAACTTAAGGTTGATCTGCTAGAAAAGGAGGGACTGCCAACTAACTACCCAGGCATCTTTTGCAGGAGTTGACAGACATTCTGAAAAGGGGACTTGTGAAGGGGAGGTTTTCTGTAAAGAATATGTGTGTATAAGTCCCAGGGGAGGAGACAGGAGAGATAAGTACAATGAGAATCAGTATGGTTCATTGGTCGCTACCCCAGCCCACAGGACCAGCCCCCAGGAGGAGAGAGACAAGGATCCTGTTCTCTGGGAACACAGCACTATTTTGGAAACTTACAGAGTTTCCACAGTTTGGGAACATCTAAGTAAGGCATTCTCCTACAAGGTAGAGCAGCAACTAAAATAGTGGAGGCCCAACGGAAGCCTGAGGAGCACGCTGCACCCAAGAGTGTGAGCTTGTTTGTAGATCAGTGAGGAACCCCTGGGACTTCCAAATCTACGTGAGAAGAGGAAGACTTTCCAGGGGACTGAGATCCTGCATGATATGATGGAATCTCGAGTCAGCAAAATTTGAGTGTAAAACCTAGTATGATTTTATTCAGAGGAAAAGAGAGTTCATCCTTGAAATAGCTGGGTTCTGTATGTAACAAGATTTGGCATTCAAGTAGGAGCATGATAAATGGCTTCAATTGTCATTCCTAAGATATCTCTCTGTGGACTTCTAATCACACCTTACGATTGGCCTGGCAGATGTCACAGAGCTTTGAGGATGAGGTCACATGATTTCCCCTCTGTTAGTTAAAAGCAACATTGAGATGAAGCATTAAGCCTTGCTGTGGGTGAAATGGTTCACTGACTTTCATGTGCCCTCACCCCCCTCCCATCAAGAAGCTGAGGTGGCTAAGCAAAGCAAATTGCTCTGGGATACCTGGGTGGCTCAGCCGGTTAAGCATCTGCCTTCAGCTCAGGTCATGATCCTGGGGTCCTAGGATCAAGTCCCACGTCGGCTCCCTGCTCAGTGCAGAGCCTGCTTCTCCCTCTGACTGCTGCTTCCCCTACTTGTGCTTTCTCTCTGGCAAATAAATCGCTAAAATCTTTTTAAAAATTGTAAATTGCCCCAAGGTTACCCTTTATGCATCACATTTTCAGGTAAATATTAATATACTTTGACTTACACTGGCATCATCTACATTTCATAATATAAATTTTTTTCTGAAAAAAAATCAGTATTTTAAAACTGCTTTTAAAAAACTAATGCTTTTAAAACTTTAATATTTTGTTGTCCAACCTACTCCTAATGACCAAAAGGTGAATGTATATGAATCTCCTTGAGCGGGAACTGTCACCAAGCTTGTCTGTCAAGTGAGTTTTTAAAAAGTCCATAAATTATAGTGGAAGGAAAGAAAAACAAACAGGCTAAAGTCTCTTTTTACTTGTTCTTTTCCAATGAAAATTTTGATTTGCTCATTTCCCTAGTTTTACCTGAGTAATCATGCTAACACTTAGCAAGTATAGGTCCCAGCCAGCATTCCAACACTCGCCATGCATTATAGTGGTGCCCTAGGTGTACCCTTAGAGGACGAGGGCTCGACTTCCTGAGGAGTGACCTGAAGTCTGGCTTAGGAAGCATTTGTATTTCTGAAGTCCCACATGGGATTCTCAGGCCTAAGGAGCAGCTGAGCTCTACCATCTGTAAACATAGAAATCACAGAAGTTGCTTCGCTTCTCAAAGTCCTTCTACTTAACTAATTTTTAGTAGTAGTGTCATGACTTAAATGATGGCAATCTACGGTGAGCAGGATGTTACCCTTGTTTGCACCGATTTTTCCTCTTTTTTTGTGTGTGTTACAGGTTACACTGTATAAACACGGAGTATCGTATGCATGTCGTTCATTAGCTTTTGTCTTTAGTGTACCACAGCTATGTGCTCAGGGCAAGAAGTAAACAGCCATATTATGGGGGTGATTATAAAGACAGAATTCCTTGCTAGGTTGTATTTTGATAGGTAATGTTAACTGCAGCTCTAACTGTACAAGTAATTGTAGTCAATTTAATGAAATTTGGTACTGTTTTAGCAAAATATCTGTCAATTTTGGAGCTCAGTTTAGAACAGAGCACCTTTTTTACCTACCTACAGAAATTAATGGTAATTATGCTTTTGACAAAGGCAAAATCAACCTAGGAGGTTTTTTTCAGAAAAGAATTATTCTTTTAAGATAGGGGGAGACTAACTCAGTTAATCCTTAAAACAACCTTAAGACATTAAATATTTTACTCTTTAAGTATTTATTTAGCACTTACTATGTCCAGGCACTATATGTATATTAACTAAAACAGTCCTTTCAACAACTCTGGGTGGATGTCATTGTCAACCCCATTTAATAACAAGGAAACTGAGACACAGGGGGATTAAGTAGTTTGGCCAAACTTAAATTAAATTGATACTAGTCTGGGGCGCCTGGGTGGCTCAGTGGGTTAAGCCTCTGCCTTCAGCTCAGGTCATGATCCCAGGGTCGTGGGATTGAGCCCCGCATCAGGCTCTCTGCTCAGGGGGGAGCCTGCTTCCCCCCACTTTCTCTGCCTGCCTCTCTGCCTACTTGTGATCTCTCTCTCTGTGTCAAATAAATAAACAAAATCTTAAAAAAAAATAGATACTAGTCTGTTTTATAGGACAACAAGCTGCCATGAGTACCCATCTATAATATTCCCAACACCTACCAATTACTGAGTGTTGGCATTTCCCATACGACCTCTTATTTAGTAATCCTATAAAATAGCTATTCTTACCCTGATTTTAAATATAAGGAAACGGGTGCATAAAAAAGAGAAAAAAAAAACCTGCCCCGAATCACGTGGCTAATTAGGACAGCTGAAATCTAACTACGTACATCCAAGTCAAAACCTGTGCTTTTGTCCAGGTGAAGGGTTTGGTGTGGAAGAGTAACAGAGGGCATGGAAGGATGGCGTTTTCAAGCTTAACTAAAGGGAGCATGGATTTTTTTTTAAGGCCACAAACATTTTAGTGCATTATACAGCTGCCAGTTTAGCAAGTAACAGAAATAAAGGTAAACAGTATCTTGGAAATTGGTCTCTACATTATAACCAGTGGTACAGTAACAACATAAAGAGGACAAGGGGGGTTTCTAATGCTTTTTATGACTATATTTATAACATTTAAAAGTAATTCAAACTGAGAAGAAATGCAGAGCTAAGTGGAGGGCTAACCAAAGGCACCCTCTGCCTCCTGCTTCATAATGCAGCACGTATACGCTTCACCACTACATACACTGGGACACAAATGACGGGTTTCTCATTCCCTGTAGTAGTAGTATATTAAGGGAAATCATGAAATTCTTTCTCTGGAAGATTCCAAAAACAGTTTTTCATCTGGTTTAATGGTTGTCCTTTCTGAAATTAGGTGAGCTGACTAGATTCTTTTGGTTTCTCCTAGCCCTCATATAAGATGTAGGTACATCACTAACACAAATCTTTAAAAAAAAAAAAAAGTTATGGGGACGCCTGGGTGACTCAGTTAAGCATCTGCCTTCAGCTCAGGTCACGATGTCATAGTCCTGATATCAAGACCCGTGTTGGGCTCCCTGCTCAGTGAGGAGCCCGCATCTCCCTCTCCCTCTGCTGTTCCCCCTGCTCATATGCTCTCCCTCTCTCTGTCAAATAAATAATTAAAATTAAAAATAAAGTTATAGAATGTTTGCTAAAATAATACTCAAGTAATTTACTTCCAAATAGGAGGCTAACAGTGAAAACTGACATATTGTGTAAAATATTGTAAAGGATTCAAAATAGTATACATTTGAAATTTCTGGGAAGAAATTTTGTGCATTGGAGGAAGTTCATGGTTAGAGATAATTTTATTCAAAGGTACATACTTTTAACCACCATCAAACAGTATAAAATATATTTAAAGAATTAACTACAGCCGGTACTTTAAAGACAATCATAAAATAGCACAAGAGCATGATGGCAGTAATAAGACCATGAGAGAAAATTCAACTTACATATAAGACTTGTACAGCTTCAGGTATTTATAACTAACATAATAATAATAGCAAGCAGCTTCAGGGTATTTCCTATATACCACCATGGTAGCAAAATGATTCTCCTGAGTTATCTCATTTATCCTCATCAACCCTATAAAGTTGACATGTCAGTTCCCTTTTAGCAGGGAAGAAACTGAAACAGAGGTAGGTTATTTGTCCAAACTTAAACAGCTAATGACTGACTGATCAATGTTTCAAGTTTAAACCCACACAGTTCAACCCCAGAACCTAACCCTTGTGGGTTGGGTTTTTTTTGTTCCCCTCCGGAGAACAAAACTTGCTCCTCCTCATCAGGAGTAGGGCAGATGTTTAAGATGCTAATATGAAGTCAAAAGACCAAGGAGGAAAAGAAGCAAAAGCCTCTGATAATATTGAAACTGAATACCCCTTAAATCATTGTGACCTCACTTGGGTCTTTTGGGGGTATACTCCAACTCCTGGGGATTAATGGGCCACATTATTTGTAGCTGATTTCTCCCAGCTCCCTTTGGGCTCTCCTATCATGGGGGGTCCACAAGTCTAGACAAGTAGACTTTAAAACTGTGTTCACATCACTATGCATTCCACTTGTTTGGTTACTCATGTACATTACATGGCCATTTCAGAAATCCCTAGAATAGTCTGGTACACTAAATATCAGTTGTGATTTTTAGCTCTTAACCCCATTGTGTAGGATTCTGGTCTGAAGTAAAAAATCAGAAATGTGGTCACTCTTACTTACATTCTCTCTGGAAACTCAGAGAATACAGTATCAAAGAAAACATTTTAAGGCATGAGCCTTTTCTGTTCTTTCAGTTTTCTCGGCCTGTGACTGATGAGAAGGACCCCCCCCACCACCTACCATGCCAGGGTGTAAGAAGAGAAAGAAATGGAAGTCAGTAACACGTAACAGGTACCTTATAAATACTGCCAAGGGCCTGACCTTTGCCAGCCATATCTAACATTTTTCAACTTTTCAAGCATGGTTCACAAATGAGGCCAAGGGCACCACAAAATAATTACTGAAAATATAAGCCTTCAAGTGACTTTTAATATTAAAATAATTTGTGAAATGATATATAAAATCATTGCACATGATAAATTTCCTTACTCTCTGCTTTTAAAAGTTTTCAACAACACATCTGCTGCTAGTCCTGGGGACAGGGCCCCACTAAGAACCTTTTTTTCCATAACAGGGATCTGTTCCCGGATGGTGGGATGGGTCCTGAAATGTTCTAACACACTTTCCTGAATGAGATTCCACATCCAAACTTTCTGCTGCCTCTGCCGCTTGGCTGTCAGCTCCCCACTGGCGAGCATGAGGTCCTGGAACTCTCTCATTTTATCCCACATTTCACTGATGCCCTCTCCACTTCTGGCGGAGATACGAATTACCTATTGAAAAGGGAAGAACCAAAACCATTTTACTTAAAATGACAGGAAACATCTTCTTAGGGTCTCTGATATTTGCCAATTAAGTCTTACAGTCTACAAAAATAGGTAAGTGAAAACGGAGACATTTTATCACTGTGTTGAAGTAAACTATACCCAGAAATAGACTGAGGTCACTTACTACGATTACTATGTGCAGAAATAAGACACTGATTTTAGGTCAAAATGTTTAGCCCACAGGCTTATTTTGACGTAGGATTGCTCAGATGGTTTTCAGACTCAACATGGAGGAGTTGCAAGAGGGTCACGAGGATGGGAAGGGCAATGCTGGGTAGGTTGCCCCGAGGCCCGCGTGCTAGGAAACAAAACTACGGTGAGAAAACAGCCCCATTCCAATTCAGCTCGGCTACGAACCAAACACCCAGCACCTGCACAGGCCAGATGGCTCCGTGCCCAGGATAGACAACGTGGATGGGGGAGCCGGGGAGTGGGCGGTAAGAGAGGTCATCGCTGCTCTCACCTGAGTGACACTGGCTCACTCTTAAATAACAGAGTGACCTCCTGCACAGAAGGCCACCCACATCTGTATCTGTGTCCTATTTATTACAGAACTGGTCTTTGTTTTTTCTTTATTGAAAATAGCACCCAGCAAGCATAATGGGGAGGGAAGTGATCACATCAAAAGCCTCTTGTCTCCTGCTCAAACTCTGAGATAGAGAATCAAATCACTAACCGTTCCATAATCTTCAGAAGGTTCCTTTCAGAATGGATTTGCTATCACTTCCAAATGGCTCAAGTCAAGCATTAAGCAATCTCATCTATCCCCTCATATCTGGCTTTTGACATCTTGTGGTTGAAGGATTATATTTAAAATCATGACTACCTGCTCTGGCTTTGTCATAATTTTTAAATTGTGATCTCACATCCAAGCAGAGATGGATTACGTGTGGCACGGGACTCGCATCCTCTCCTCTAATGTGCGCAGTCCACTCAGGTGGGGAGCACAGAGCGGAACGCAAGCTGACCTTGGGTCTCCAGACTTCGGAGCGCTTGCGGAGTAACTTCAGGGCGCTCACGTACTCTGCCTGTATCCTTCGAGCCGGCACAATCAAGTCTCCGTCAGATTTCGTGATGGCCACCAGGTCCGCCATCTCAATTATACCTCTCTTGATACCCTGAAGAGAAAAAGAGAGCAATGTATCAAAAACATTTCATTTAAATAGAGCAAAAAATGGGCGACCAGTCAACGCTAAGATTTTGAGAGTCACACACTTCATTAACTAACTTTACCTCCACATCCTCCCAAGCCCTGGGTACCAGGAACCACAATCCCACAACCGTTGGGATTATGGAAGTCATCTATAAGATCTCTCCCAAATTTAGAGACTAACGTGAGAAAATACATTTACAATTAGAGGAAGTACATCCTCAAGACACAACAAGAATGAGTGGCAGGAGACAAGTCCAGTTGTCTCATGATGGATTCTGTCTCTCCTGAGCTAATGCTGCAAGACGCAAAACCATCCATCATTAAATGCTTACAGGGTAAAGACACCTATCGCTAACATCTGCATTTCCATACACAAAGTCTTCGAACCTTTCCTCAAGGTTTATAATTTTTTTTTCCAATTTGCATTTGAGGAAAATAGATAGCTAAAAATGCCCCAGTCTCGGTACTACAAACACCCACACCACGGTGGTCTCTTTTGGCTGGAACTATCCACGTGCTCCATTCACTCCCCATGCTGCCAGTGGAAAAATCTAAGTTGTAGGATTAGCTCAAGGTCATAAATTTTGTTACTATAAGTTAGGAAAAAACACAGAGAATGTGCCTTTGACTCGGGCATTTTAGCTAATGTGAATGATTTTTCTTTTCTTTTTTTAATTTATTTAAGAGACAGAGAGCGCACGCATGCATACTAGTAGGGGGAGGAGCAGAGGGAGATGGAGACGCAGACTTCCCGCCACGCAGGGAGCCCCATGCGGGACTTGATCCCAGGACCCTGAGATCATGACCTGAGGTGAAAGCAGATGCTTTACCAACTGAGCCACCCAGGCGCCTCTGAATGCTACTTCCTTTGCTTACATTACCCCAGCTTAATTTACAGAAACACAACACCGGTAATGTGTACTTTCAGAGATGTACACTTTGTGTTTTGGGAGGAAAAAAGGCAACATAATCACCTGCAATTCATCTCCTCCTGCTGGTGGCAACAGTAAAACAAACATGTCAACCATATCCGCAACGGCAAACTCCGACTGGCCCACGCCTGAGATTGTAAAATATTCATAGCGATTAGACTTTCTCAGCTACCTTGACCGCCATTTCATTCACTCGTACTCGCCACCACACATTCAAGCTGATCCCACTTTGAAACCCCCACCTCTGAGGAATCTGTGAAATGCGCTGCCCTGTGAGCACACCTGTGACCCTTCTCACCTCTCGCCCTCGCTTATGTAGCCTTCGTGCTGGCTAAATAGCGAACCTCGAGATGCCCATTCTCTCCGCCCCCTCGCAGCTCTTTCCTGGCTTCCCTTTCACCAGTGAGCGGCTTGAACAGTGTGGTTCTAATCCTAGACCATGCCTATCAAGACTTTCGGCTTTCTCATCCTCCCAGGAGCCCTGCAAAGCCCCACCCATGGATCAGCCCAACCATCTGTGTTCTCTCTTCTGTAAGGTGCAGGAGGAATGGCTCAGGAACAGGCACCACGGCAGGGTCATGGGGTCTACTGTCCGCTGCCCACTCCACACAGCTCGGCAAAAGCGGAGCCACCAGGCACCCTCAGTCCGCTGCATTCGCATTTCTCGCAGTGGCTGTTACAAACATTCACTGGGCCGTAGTCTTCCTCATGATGATGCCCACGGCACCTACTTGGTGGTGAAATAAAGGCCAGAGCTCCCTCAGCATCTCCCTCTCCCCAAATGCCAGCCCTGCTCACTGCCCCTCTCAAGTCGCAGCGTAAGAAGTACCGGCCAAAGATTAGCGGCTCCCTCCTCCCCACCTCCTCCTGCCGGCTCTGCTTTATCTTTAAGCTCTCCTCAGTCTACCGGCTCCTGTCGCTCAGCACCTCATCGGAACTGTGCTCCCGTCCTTCTCATTGAAAACTAAATGAACCAAGAAAAAATAGGACAAAACCTCACACAACCTCCTCCAATTATCACCATATTTCTCACTTTCTTTATAGCTAAGTGTCTAATAAGAAAAATCAATGTATGCTCATTTGTCTTCACTTCATTACTTCACATTAATTTCAATCCACTTAAATCTGACTTGCACATCACACGCTCCACTGAAACCTCTCTAAGAGTCTGCCCTTCCCTGGGGTGTCAGGGACTTCTAGCTGTCCATTCCGTATTTATTCTTCCCCATTTCCTTACCACAGGGGTTGTTAGGAGCACTGACGTACCAGGTAGGAGCCCACGGTCACCAGACCTGGCTTCCGCCAGGTCTAATGCGTGAAAGCAAAAGTCACCATATGGGGTTTCCAGGAAAATCTATAAAGGGGGGCTAACCCAGCCAGAGGTACACCTCTTCTGCTGACCCCTTACCCCTCCTTCCTTACCCTCTACCTCCTGCTTGGAACGTGTATGTGACCGTTAGAGCTTTATCAGCTGTCTTTTAACCAAGAATAACCCTGAGGAGGGAAACTAAGTGCTGAAACTGGAGACCAGAGACAGAAGCTGGGGACACTGAGGGCACTGTGGGGCCACCAGGCCTACTTGGGCCTGCCTGCCTCTGGGCTGCTTCTGTTTACAAAAAAATAAACCACCTCTGCTGAATCACAGCTCTTTCGAGTCTCTGGGAGAAGCAGTCAAGTGCAACTTCTACCCAATGCACTTGGTTTTTATGGTTCTCTTCTCTCTTGATTCTCCTACTACCACATGGGCAACTCTTCCTCCATCCCGCCCTACATGGTGGAGTTTCTGGTCTCCAGCCCCATCTTTCTTCACCCCCTATGCGCCTCCACACTCTATGGGCTACGTATTCTGAACAAACCGTGGTTCTGTAAATTGGCCATGCCCTCTCGCTCTCTTTATTTCACTCCAGTTCCTCCTTCAACACTGAGCTCAACTGTCACCTCCTCCCAGAAGTCTTCCCTGATCCCTCAAACCCGAGTCAGGTTGTGGCACAAACATTTATCACTCAGTAACAGTAGATTGTCTCTCCACAGCCTGTGAATTTCTTGGGGTTTCCATTTCAGTATTTTCATTGTGTATAACTATATACTAGGGATAGAAAGGTGAAAAAAAGGTTACCCCTTCAATACCCTTGTATTAAAGGGGTAACCAGCTATGTATATTTTTGTAGCGAATATTATAGACATGTGAAATGTGCTTCAACACAACAGGTGTTAAGTTAATGTATTGTTGTCAATGCTTACAGTTCTCCTTTGGCATTTACAATATGTATCACAGTTCTCCAGATAGGTGGCTTTTCTTTAAAGGTCAGGATTAGAGCCTGCATTTTCATATCTCCTATAGAACCCAAGATATCTTGTATTTTATTATACCTTTAGGAAATATACGCTAAAGGAACAAAATGATACTAGTTGTCACTCATCTTTATATAGCATTCATTATAATAGTATTTTATTGTTATGAAATAGAAAATCACACTCACCTACGGTTTCAATAAGAATGATGTCATATCCCCCTCCTTCACACAACAGAATAGCTTCATTTGTGGTCCTTGTCACACCTCCTAAAGTACCACTGGTGGGAGACGGCCTGATGTATGCATTCATATCTCTTGATAACTCAGTCATTCGGGTTTTATCACCTAAGAGTGATCCTAAAACACAGAGTTTTCTAATCATGGAACACCTATAAAGGCCAATTATCAATCAGCTAATTAATTCCCAGGTGAAGTGCTTTAGGGCATTTCTCCCCAAATCTCAAAATTATTTCATATTACTGAGCTTTAGTGCAACACAGCATATATAATGCCAAATTAATCGTTTCAACATTTCAAGCCCCTCAAAATTTATAATGGCTTCCCACTGACTAGAGGTTCACATCCAGATTCTTCAGCCTAGCACTAAAGGACCTCAGAATGCAGCCCTACCTTCCCTGTCCAATTTCAGCTTCTACTAGTCCCCATATCAATCTTCCATTTCAGCCAAGATGGTTTCTTTACTGTCATCTTAACATTGTTGCCTTGATAGTTTTCAAATGGGGATGAGTTTGCCCCCAGAGGAAATCTGGCAATGTCTAGAGAGATTTTTACTTGTCAAAACTGGGGGTAGGATGCTATTGGCATCTGGTGGGTGGGGGCCAAGATATTGCTAAGCATCCTTTAGTGTCAGGAAGCTGCCCAAAACAAAGAATGTCATCAGTGCCGAGGCTGAGAAACTGTGCTTTAATAGAAGTTCCTTGCTCATGGAACCATGTTTTACATATTCTCTAATGAGAGCTTATTCACTGTAGGAAATTAATTAGTTAATTTTTTTAAAAGATTTTACTTATTCATTTGAGAGAAAGAGAGAGAGTATGAGCAGGGGGTAGGGGCAGAGGGAGAAGCAGGCTTCTCACTGAGCAGGGAGCCCAAAAAGAGGCTCTATCCCAGAACCCTGGGATCACGACCTGAGCTGAAGGCAGACGCTTAACCGACTTAGCCACCCAGGCACCCCATCAATTTAATGACTGTGGATTAGAACTAGTGATGTTCTAGGGCTTACTGCAGTATTTTGGAAAATATCACTACTCGCAAATTCTAGAAGACTAAATGCCCTGGAACTATTGAAATTACCTCAAACTTTTATTTTCCTTTAGCCATATACCAACATTTGAAGGTGTAGTGCTAGTCTAACCCACACTTTAATTTTCCCTCTGCCTAAGAGCTAACTTCTCTACATAAAGTTGATGCTAAGCATTGAGAAGGTCCTTAAAGATATGGTCTTTTCCCTTGTGATTCCAGTTTAGAGTTCTCACAGGTTCTAATTCTAGAGCAGACACCTACCACATATCTCAACCGCTTTACTGCACACAAAACTTTTTTCTAAAGTAATTTTCAGCATGAAATCATCTCTGTATAAGTCAACAATCTGCCAAAGCTATACTTTAACTTACTATCCTATAGATCCTAACACACTGAATTAAAGATTATGAAATTACTCTCCCATCTAACTGTCTTAGCCAGTGAGTCAAAAACTGTCAGTTGCAGACCCTTAGGGAGGTCTCCAAGCTGCTGCAGGGGACCTGTGAATCCAAATCCCAACAAGGACTGACTAGAGACCAAAAAAGTAATGCTTTTCAACTTTAGCATCGTGCTGTTTTTCAAATGTAACCACTGCAGCAAAAATAAAGTAGAAATGGAAACTTACAGTGCCCTGTTAATCCTCAAGTATTTTCTCTTTCAAAGTCTATATATTTTTTCACCTGAGAAAGGGAACTTCATTTTTAGTTTAAGAATTAAAACCACATGGCCATGCAACTTTAATCAGGCTCTCTTGTCACCATATCTGCTACTACTATCTCAAGCTATTATTTTCTTTTGCTATTTCAAGTATTCTAGAATACAGTGAAGGTGAGAGGAAAAAAAGCCTTCTCACCTGTATGAAAATGAGAGCCACTATAAAAAAATTATTTGCGCAAGTCCTTACCTTTAACAAAGTAAGTTCTTAGACTGTAAATAAGACAATATATTCACATGGCTTTAATCTTGAACCCTGTGAGTATAATTTTATTTTATGGTTAACATCTTTATTACTGTAAATCAAAAACTGTACATGTTTTCAGCTAAAGTTCTCAATGGGTGGTAACAGGAATTGCTGTCCACCTCTCAACTGACCTAAAGCTCTTTAAATATGATTATATCATCTCTCTTTTTTTAGCATGAAGCCCACAGTATGCAAACCAAACACTTCCACAAAGTGCCCTGTACTTTCCCCTTACAACACACATTACATTGTGATGGCCGGTGTTTACATGTCTGTTTCCATCATTAGATATATAGCATAAGGCTAAGAGAACTGTGTCTCAGTCACCATTACACGACACAGTGCCTTCCTTGTACAATGCCTCCCCTATAGCAGACATTCAAATACTTGTTAAATGAATAACTGTAATGTGAGAGGAATAGGCAAGAAAAAACTTTCCTGGGGCACCTGGGTGTCTCAGTTGTTAAGCATCTGCCTCCAGCTCTGGTCATGATCCCAGGGTCCTGGGTTCAAGCCCCACATCAGGCCCCCTGCTCAACAGGAAGCTGGCTTCTCCCTCTCCCACTCCCCCTGCTTGTGTTCCCTCCCTCACTGTGTCTTTCTCTGTCAAATAAAAATAAAATAAAATAAAATAAAATCTTTAAAAAAAAAAAAAAAAGGAAAGGAAAAACTTTCCTGAGTATTTACATGGTAAGCTTTATGTTTTCCTTAAATGATCCTTTGGGGAAACGAAGTTTATTCATTTTCTCTCTCATGAGCTGCCAATTAAACTCGAGTGACTGTGTGTCCTCAAACCAGTAAGCAGTTGCTGTGCCCGAGATGTACACACCACGCTAAGTGCTGTGGGGGGGAAGAGAGGTGTATTACACGGTCCCCCTAAGGGCTTTCTGTTTCACTGAACATGTAATATGAACAGGTGAAAAGTTATAAAGAGCAATAAGATTTTCTTTTAAGATTAAGAAATGTTACAACAACACAGGAAAAAAGGTGAATGAGAAGATGGACCCATTTTCTGAACTGCATAGGGGGTGATAGAGCAGGGGTGGGGGCGGGAACAGGAAGGAAGAGGGCCTAGTGTCAGCTGTGATAGACAAAGAGCTGAAATTTGCTTTTGGTTATTTTCAACTTCTGGCACCCATTTTCCTAGTTCTCTAAGTACCCAAGCTCCTCCTGGACTCCCCACAAACTAAGAAGCCAAAGGCCCCAAGCTACCTCCATCTCCACCTCGCCCCCCCAAAACTCCTTTTGGTAAGATCAAACTCAGCGAGAGGTTAGAAGTTACCGGACTGTGCAAATTCCCATTAAATTATAAGAGAGCCCTAGGAGACCCTGCTCTGCAATTAAAAAAAAAAAATCACCAATACTCACCACCACTAGTACAAGAAGAAGGGTCCACAGCTAGCACAGATAATTTGTGCCCTCTCTCAGTAAGCATTTTTCCAAAATACTCTATAAAGGTTGATTTTCCAGCACCAGGGGGCCCAGACAATCCTGTAGTAGAGAGACCTTCTAATTTAATGAAAGAAATAAGATCAGCACAATGTTAAGTTCTATTCAAATATCAGATTACCTTGTCTTTCTCCTAATGTATTAATACCATCATTAATATATTTTAACATTTCCTAAAGTAAATGAAAAACCATTTATCTAGCTCCTGAGCAACAGGGATATAGGAAGAAAACAATTCTGAGTTCCGTACGTTCTCCAAATTTACTTTGTAAAAGGACAAAATATGATCAGCCCTTTTACTATAATACAGATCTTTCTGGACAGACATCATTGCTTATATTGTTAATGTGCTGCATTTCCACAACACCTGCCCACCGCATCATGAGCAATAATTATTCCACCTACCCCAATGCTGGACACTTGATCTTCCCATTGGAAAAACAACTCAGTACTTTGGAAATTCCCAGTAATTGAGAGAAAATAATTTCCCACTTACGAAAGATAATTTTTTTTGCACCTTACCCATAACTCAAAATATATGATTTAAACTGAATCCTGAAGAAATTAGTTTGTCCTAAGAAAGGGAAGAAATTCCCCACTTGGTGAGTTCATAGAGCACGGCAGGTAAGAACATGCACTCTGGAGCCGGGTGACTGGTTCTGGTTCTAGCTCTGCCTCTTAAGAGCTGTGTGATCCTGGAGAAGTTACTTAGCCATTCTGTACCTGAGTATATTCTGCAATCAAATGCATATGATAGCACTTACCTCTTCAGGTTGTTGTAAGAACTAGATGAGTTGCTATTTGCAATGTTTAGAACAGTACATGGTATAAAGCATATAAAAGTTAAGAATTTAATTGTAATTGCATTCAAAAGTATGTGTAGGTCATACGGCATGCCCAACCTTACTGTAATTTTCAGGGCAGGTCTCTTCTCTGTCTTAAACATCTGTATGGGTGCTGAACAAACACCTGTTACTTATAGTTATGATGGTGATAGAAGAGCTACAATAAAGACACAGGTTCATCTGGCTTCATAAGACCAAAATGAAAGAACCAGAACAGCAATGAAAATTTGTGAGTTACTAGCTTCGTGGGAGTTGCTGGTTAACTGTATATTTCTAGGGTGTTTTCTCTTCAAACATCCATTAGGTATAATAAGTAAATACTTTGTCATAACTGGAACTTCTCTTTGGGAGTCTGCTGTTTTGTCTGTCACATAAAGATTATTAACAGTCAATGTAGTACTCTCAAAATGAGAGTTCCTTCAATGAGGGCAGAAGAATGAGATGTGTGAATAATGCAGACTCCCAATATCAGTTGGTGAACTCTTTTTGAAATAATCTTCAAATATGCATATCCTGTTACCATAAAATTAGAAGGTTTTAATACCATATAATTAAACTGATATATAAGTCTAATACAATGCCAGTCAATTTTTAAGTGTATTTACCCAATCCTCACAAAATTTCTGCACTTTGTCCACCATTTCAAGTTCTTTTTGGTGGGAAAGTTGATTGGGATCACCTACTCTGCCATCGTGGAAACTCTCATTCCACCTAAACATATCTAAACTGTTTAAAAATGCACAATTTAAAAAATAAAGCCAGCTTATTTGCAATTACAGAACCTAGTCAATTGTTCAAGAAATCAAGTGAATTTCTAATATTTTTAGACAGCAAATGAATAGGGACTCTCCTTTAAAACACATTTTGGTATTGAGATGGCTGTGCTTAGAGCCAAGCAACTCCCAGAAACTCTAACAGAAAACATCTGGAAGAAGGGAGACTTGCCCTAGAAAGACTAATGAAACACCTAAGAAGCAGAATTTTGAAATGTGATAAGGATAATTATAGTTGATATAAATACAGAAACAAGGCGTTCACTTCGGACTATCAAGCCGAGTGGAGTAAACCACTTAACAATTCTTCATACGCATAGTTTATTCTGGGAGCCACAGGTTCTTGCCAAAGCAGAAATATTATTCTCTTAAAATACAGAGCCTTGGCTCAAATGACCATGACTTCCTCCCACCAACTTAACAAGAACAATATTTGCAAAAAAGAAAAGAAAAAGAAAGAAAGCGGGGGGTGGGGGGGGATTAAAATCCAGCCCAAAATTCTGGAAAAAAAAAAAAAGAATTCCCATTAGATTGCAAACTATTCAGACTTATTTTAAAATAGAGAAAACTTAGAAAAATATTTACTGAAGAGACTGAAAGGAAAAAAAAAAAAAAAGACTGACCCACTCGAAATGCTAGTGGTTTTCCCTTATTTATTTGTTCTTGTTCCCTGTGGTAGACTAATACTTTCTGAAGAAGCACCTGGGCTAACTCTTTTTTCCTCTTGTGGGTTGATTCTATGAGAGTTATGGCCTCTGCTAAGCAGGCTCTGTGCCCTTGGATTAAACCGGTGTAAAGTTTATCCACAAATCTTTGTTCTTTATCAGAAAGTTCTTCTGTGTGTTCCTTTAAGGTTGTTTGTACACATAATTTTCTCTTTAAACCATTTGACAGCAGCATCCATTTTGTACAATGGGGTCCAAGAGAATTAAACGGCCGAGCACAAGGGATTCCTGATCCGAGATGAGTACTTGAGTGAAAGATGAAGTGGTAAGGACGGAAAGGTGTTCTTAAAAGGCCTTTTAGGAAACTCCGGTGAGAATGTTGCAGTAGCATGGGAATATTCATTCTGTTTGTAACTGCAGAAAACACTGGATTATTTTTTTGGCTCAATGTGATTTGTGACTCCCTAGAAGAAAGAAAAACACATTTTTGCCAGTTCAATATATAATTAAGATACTGAAGTTAGTAAAACTGCAAGCTTAGTGTTTTCCCTATATTCTAAAACACACATAATCAGGCTTCTTGGCGGTACAAATGGGTGAAAGTTTCTTACCAAACCTAAGAGAGATGATCACCCCCCTGCCTACAGTTAATATTCAGAGGAGCCCAAATGATGGATTATTATTCTACTGTAAAACAGAATGTACATTAAAATTTTCTTCTAAACAAAAAATAAATATACAAAGCTCCATGTTTATGTCATGCTTATTTTCTTCTGTCTACAGACTTTACAATTTCCTCAGATCAAATGGACCTGATTTTGAGGCTCATTCAAAAGGTTAAAAAGGTTACAAAAAAAATTCCTCTGATGCTAGCCTTTTATTCTTTCTCTACCAAAAAAAATAAAAAGGATTAATAGCATAGGCACTTGAGGCATAAGCTTGGATAAATGTGAGCGTTCAGTGGGCTCACCCTGGAACATAGATATATGCAAAGAATGTGCTATAAGCCCAACATTACCACCACCACGACCACCACCATCACCCCAGGCCTTCATGTGAAATGAACTGTGAGGTTTGTATGGTAACTAGGTCACTGTCTTTCCAAGTAGGACCCAAACGGCTTGGTACCTACTAAAATGCATATTCCCAGGCCCACACATCAGCATCTCCATGGGTCAGTAAGCGCGCTGAAGTCTGAATCACTATGGAATTAGATGCTTTATTTAGATTTACTGATACTCTCCACCTCAAGATATATTCAACACTGAAAGCTGACACAGTCATGGAGAGTTAGAAAAGTACGGAGGGTACGAGCCTCGGCCACAGTGAGTCTCTGCCATGTCGGCTATCGTGCTGTTGACCACTCCAGGCCTCAGCACCCTCTTGAGTTAAGAGAACAGGACAGCTGTGAGAATGAGTTCAGTTAATTCATGTAAAGAGCCTCCTGTAAAAAGCCTGGACCAGTGCCTAGCATAGAGTAAGAGCTCAATAAACATTAGTTTTTATTATGATACCAATTTATAAAACATTAGTAAAAATTAGGTCATAGACCTAGCTTCCAGTGGCAAACTAAAATTTACATGCAAATGATACATATGGCCTACCAGATTTGGGTTTATGATTATTTGAAAATTTGGGTTTTCAACTATCTCATAGCTGAATGAAATAAACTACTTTATTGCTCCAAAGTTCCTCTCTAAATTATATTTCAAGGCCAATCAGCATGAAATTAATTTTACTAAATAACATTCTCATAGGAAAAAGAAGACATATTTTAAGTTTTTTTATTGTTAAAACTATAACTGCTCATCATTTTTCTATTTGGGGGGGACAGGAGAGTATTATGACATCTTTTTTTGACAAAATTAGTCTTATTCTAAAAAGACAATTTATGGAAAACTGTGTAAAACGGCTCTAAAAAAAAAAACAATTTAAAACATCCACTACCACCCTTCACACAAAGGCATTTAAAACAACACAGTTAAGAGAGGATCTATTTTGGAAGTTCTCTTTAAGCACACTCCTCAACAATATCATTGCCATTACAACAGCTTGAAAGCTCATGGGGAAGAACTGTATTTTTACTTAGCCACTATTTTCTCAGCGCATACTGCTTTTCAGGTCCCATTCTAGGGTTAAGAATCATAGTGATGACAGTGTTACTGTTGGTGATGACAATGACATTTACTATGTTCCAGTCATTCTACTGTGACCTTCTATATTAGTTTCCTAGGGCTGCTGTGACAAATTACCACAAACCGGGTGGCTTAAAAAAAAAATTATTCTCACTGTTCTGGAGGCTGGAAGTCAGAAATCCAAGTGTTAGCAGGCCTGCACCCCTCTGAAAACTCTTCCCTGTCCCTCCTAGCACCTGGTGGCTCCTGGTGCTCCTTGGCTCACAGCTGCACCACATGGCCTTCTCTTTTCTTTGTGTCTCTCCTCTGTGTGGAAATCTGTAACTCAGTGGATCTGCTCAGATAATCAAACATGATCTCATCTCAAGATCTTTAATTTCAGGGCATCTGGGTAGCTCAGTTGGTCAAGTATCTGACTCTTGGTTTTGGCTCAGGTCATGATCTCAGGGTGATGAGACTGAGCCCTGAGTCGGACTCCATGCTGGATGTGAAGCCTGCTTAAGATCCTCCCTCTTCTTCTGCCCCTGCCCCTCGTCAACCTGCTCACACACACGGTATCTCTTAAAAAACAAAACCCTTAACTTAATGACAACTGTCATCTGTAAAAACCCCTTTGTCCAAATAAAAGTCACATTCACAAGTTCCAGGGATTAGGACATGGGTATATCTTTTTGAAGGCCACCATTCAATCCACTATACCTTCTTAGGAGGACTGTCACATTATATTACCCTAAATGACATAATCCTAGCACTTCAAAAGCCCACGGAATAATAAACACCATGTCCAAAAAAACCCACAAAGTGCTGTGGGAACAGACAAAATTATAGAAGCTAACTCTCCCTAGGGAGTAGGAGGTTCAAGTCATGGAGGGGTCAATGTCAAGGCTGGGTCTGAAAGGATTAAAAAAAAAAAAAAACAAACAAACAAACAAAAAAACTAGAGGAGGCGGCCTTCCAGACTGAGGACTTAAAAGCACAGAGTCGCAGCTGGAACCTAGTCTCTTCCCTGCCGTATCAGAGAAAATTGAGCAATTCAGTGAGACAGAAGCCTGGTGTATATATGGAACTAGTGATAGGAAATGAAGCTGGACCAGGATGTAAATGGAGGCTCCTTACTGACAGTGGAGAAATGACAGAGATCTTTACAGAGATTAGTGACATAGTCAACTTGGGTTTTTAGGGAGATAACACCAGGAGCAGTGGTGAGAAGTCAAGAGGAATCCAACCCTGGTAACCTAACGCCCAGTTCAGGACACCCTAGCAAAGACTCAAAAGAGATGAGAAGGACCTGAACTTAGGCAGGGCATTAAGGGAAAGAGAAGTCAGATTCAAGACCCTGTTGTCCACTTTAGAATCCTCAAAGCTCACGATGGAGGCTGGCACATTGCAATTGCTGAAAAAACAAACAAAAAAGGCTGCTGACCTGAATCTATTTCATTTCCCACCAGCCTGTTACTCAAGAGTTTATAAAACATTTCCAAATACTTCTCACTTTACTCTCCCAGAAAATTTTATGACAATTATTATTATTATTTTTATTATTTCTCATGTAACAAGAGTGAGTTAGGTGACTAATGTCATAGCCAATGAGAGGACCAGGACTCAGACCCAGGTCTTTTGATTCTATGGCACTTTTTCTTAATAAATTCTTTCAGGATCAAGGAGAAATCCTTTTGCTAAAAGGTAAAGAGATGTTAGTAACTTTGTCCCTCCCAAAGCATCTTTTAAAAAAGTGTGCAGTGAGGATACCTGCTCAGTAGGTTAACTGTCTGACTCTTGGTTTTGGCTCAGGTCATGATTTCATAATCAAGCTCAGTGGGGAGTTCGCTTCAGATGCTTTCCCTCTGCCCCTCCCCCAAGTCCCTAAAATAAATAAATAACCTTTTAAAATTAAAAAAAGGAAAAAAAGTGTGCAGTGATAGTGATGGCATTAGGACGAGCCAAAGAACAGAGAAAGAGGAAATGATCATGAGGAGACAAAACATTCTTACTACCAAACCTAGTCCTCAGGGAGAGGAGACATTTCTCCCATAGGAGAAATGCTATCTATGTCGTCTAAGAAAAAAATATAACTATCTAAAATATTCCCTTTAATTAACAAATTTTACCATGACTACCTCTTGTTACCCAACAAAGCTCTGGTCAAAAAGAACAAAGTAATATGTTGAGAGAGAAACAAGATTATAAAGCATTCATTCAACAAATATTTGACCATTTACCATGTGCCATGCAATAGTCTAACAAGGCAGATACAACAATGATCAAAATAGATCAAAGTTCTTGACCTCATAAAGCTAACATTCTAGTAAGGGAAGACAGACTATAGATGTATATATAAGACAGCCAGTGTGGCTAGACATGAATAAGGAAGAGGGAAAGTATAAGGCCAAAGAGGGAGTCAGATATACAGCCATAGATATGACTGGAGAACTCTGACTGTGAATGAGAATGGAAGCAGCAGGACGAAGGAGAACCTGATTGACTTCTGTTCTAAAAGGATCTGATGGGGATGCAAGAACAGAAATGGGGAGACTGGCTAAGATTATTGCAATAAGGCACATGAGAACTGAGGAGGACATGGACCACGTAGGGATGGTGTTAAATCAGATTCTGGGTGAACTCTAAAGGACCTGCTAATAAATGAG